AAGTATCTCTTGACTCAACTCAGTTTTTGGATTTTGGCGTTGATAGTTACGCGACCGTAAACGCGGCAAGGTCACCAAATCCAAAAAGTGATTTGAATCAAGAGATACTTTGCTGCCCGTACATTCAATCAATAAGCTATTCAGAAAATTTGAACCAATTCAGCGTATAAAAAGTCGATTTTGCGATAATGGTCATTATATTTTTGCACGGACAATAGGTTTTTAGGCAATTAGAAAAGATTGAAAAAAAGATGTTAGTTAACACAGGATTGGAAGAAACAAAATCCATCATCATCACCTGATTCCGAGTCGTTGGCTATCGTTCCTCGCTGTCTTCTTCATATGCACCAATTAATTGATCAATATTTCAATAACAAACGAACAGAAGTTGCACAATTGAAAAATAATAATCAACAAATTTAAATAAAAAGAAAATCATTGAATTTAATTGATTCATGCACTACTACTGTTGTTAAACTTGGTAGTGGTTGTTTCATGGACGAGGTTGCGGTTGCAATGCAACAAGGTAAGTCTCATCTGTTGCTTGCCTTGTTCCAAGAATGCTTAGAACTTAGTTCAATAAGAAGCTAGAGAAAACTTGACAATAACAACTTCTGCAGAGGGTAGTGCATGGCGTTATGTCTCTTGTTTGCTTCTCTCGTACACAGGTTTAATTCAAGAGCGTGTGACGCAGCAGCAGTTGACAATTGAGGTGTTGTCGGATGAATTATTTATTGAAATTTTTCAATACGTTCAAGTTGTTGATCTCTTCCGTGGTTTTTATAATCTAAACTCTCGCTTAAATGCAATTTTAATGGACCAGCATTTATATCTTTCTGTTAATTTATTTGAAATGACATCTACGGATGCTAAATTTGCAGAAGAGAATGATTTATTAAATTTTTTACGTAAGAAAATTATCTATCTTAAAACAGATGATTGGTATTCTCTAATGCTTACGAATCGACGACAATCATGTTCATATTGGAAACGTGCAGAATTATTGTCAAAGAAAAATATAAATTCTTATCCGAGTCTACGTTCACTCACAATTGTACGTCCTGATAATATGCATTATCAACAATTAATTGATTTACCAGAGGAAATACGTCAACAAATAATATGTTTAAAACTCAATCGTCAAGCTGAATCAGGATTTCCAATACAGCGAGTGCGAAGATTTGTATTTCGTGATATGTTTGACAAGAATTGAGACATTTTACTAATTTTTTTTTTAATTTCTTTATTCTAGGGGCAACTAGTATCATGTATACTCAACGTGAATTATTTTCCGAATTTAAAAATTTTACATCTACCAGACAGTTTTAAACTCTCAAGATTATCGTCAGAAACTTTATCTATGGGTCTTAAAACAAACTTAAGTAAGTTATAGAATTTTGAACCCTACAGTCAGACGTGATGTAACAAAATCCGTCTTTTTGTATGTCGATTTCTAGGATCATTAAAAGTATATGAATGTATTACAACCCAATTCTACAGTATACTAGAATATTTACCCTTACTAAAATCATTAACGCTCGATGAA